CAATATTTTGGATTTATCGATTCATTACAAAGACATAAAATATTTGTTTAAGACTGTAGCAGTAGCAGTTGATTTACGAAAACCAGTATATGGTCGTGTGATTTGTAAATCTATTGATTATAATCAAGTGCTAAGTATGATGATCAAAGTGAATTGGGAGGTAAAAGATATTATGTGTGAACACAGCAGATATGTTGATTATTTCCTACAAGTATGTTATATAATAGAATATGAGAATGTAATTATATTTTTTTTTCAATGACTAATAATGTTTATAGGAGATACGAGCTTTTTTTAAAACTCTTAAAACATCAACATCCAATATATATTTAAATGAGCAAGTATTAAATTCTATCTGGGAAGCTATAGCTGTCCTAGTATCTTCTGTTTTTATTGAAGGGTAAAATGTATTAAATAATAATTTTAATCTATTCAAATTATTCAATATTATTTTTATTTTAGATTTTCATTAGCCAAAAAATGTTCAAATGCTGGTCGAGCATTAATGCAACTTGATTTCACACAATTTTTATCACAAATAAACTCAATTTGTCCTCTTAATCCATTACCACATAAAGAACTAATCGAAGTGTATATAAAGGCTTATTACTTACCTGAAACATCATTAGAAACATGGATAAGGGATCATCAGGTTATTTCAATTTATTAATGTGCTTAATAAATAAATAAAAAAAACTATAATAATTAATTGTATACATTTAAATTTCAGGAATATACTCATAAACAATTATTAGCTGTCATAAACTGTGTGTGTCAAAACAATAAACGGTCACGACAAAAGCTGACTAATTTATTGGAAGAGTCTCTACAAAGATAATCTCATTTTTATTACTAAATGTATTAGTTATTTATTTTTAATTATTTTTATTAATTCAGTTAATATTATGCAATTATAAATAACTGATAAGATTGTTTTTTACTTCAACAATTCAACCTAAGTGGGTTAATTTTTTTATGAAATCTCCGTTCAATAATTATTTAATACTCAATTACACTTATTTTATAGCACACACTATTTTTTTCAACTTTTTCAACAACTCTGAAAACTAAAAAAGTCGACAACGTTTTCAATGTGAATAATCATTTTTGATAGGACACATGCTGATAAATTTGTTCACATTTTTGCTAAGCTTACTGAGAGAAATAACTTGGTGTCAATGCTGGGTCCACTTTTTAAAAAACTTTTTTACTCTTCGTGTTGATTCATTCAAATCGACAAGTGACAAAAGGTTMATATTTGTTCAGTGTTTTTGTTATATGATGTAGTAATATATGTATCAGTCATAAGGGTTTATGACATATCATATATCCTTACTAATATAGATTTAAAACTAAATACCTACGGAGAATAAAGGTTATTATTTCCGATTTAAATCCTTTACTGTTCATATCTAGGAAAGTAAGAATTACCTAAGTATAAGTTAACAATAATTATTATGAAATAACATTTTAAGACATTAATTGTTTACTTTTAAAAACTCGTTCTAAGAAAAAAAATTATAAATATTTTAATATTTTAATGTGAATAATTTATTTTTTTCTATAGATTATAAAGGTGTATATCAAGAATAATAATAGTTAACTATTCATCTTGAATTCTTTTATTATTAACTTCATTTAAGGGCGTCAGAACTGGTGCGTTCTTAAAACAAAAACGTGTGTTACTGGAAAAATAATCGGATTTTGTCAGTTTTTAATTTATTTAAAGAAAAATCATTTTTCCTGTCAGATTACAGATTGATTTTCAAAGTTAATTTTCTACCACTATTCAAAGTTCAATGAAATTKCAGTCTTTAATCCGACCAATACGTTATAACGTAAAAATAAATAATTAAACGTCGCATTATGTATATAGGTGTTTTGATTTGCATTTTGCTCCTGGCTGTTAGATACAAAAAAGGGGGGATGATGGGARGSCCTTTATATACAATGGAATGGTACCCACTACCGGCACTACCCATATTTATTTTTAATCACTTCGGCAGTCAGCGCTACTGCAAAATTGAAAAACAAAAATAATAAAATATTGTATATTTTTCTCTCATCAGTGGCTTCCAATTTTGTTTTTAAATGTATTTGAGCTCACCAAAGAGTTAAAAGGTTTTAAAAATTATTATATATGTCTATAGCAAACATCAATAGGTAAACAATAATTGGAAAAGGATTCTGGTTACGGTAACATCAAAAACTAGTAAATATTTTGAGAAACATTCAATTTCCATAATTTTCCCACCATTATTTAGAAAATAATTTTCATTCATCAAATTATATATTGATTATTGATATATCGATGGTGTTTGAGGTTATATAAGAAATAAGATCGGTTTGATCACGGTTAATAGAATAGATATATTATAACACAGAACAATMATTATTATAATAGACCTACCTATTAACCGTGCGCTTTGATGACTTCAAACCACACATATATAAAAATATAATATTTATTATAATAATATTTTTATATATTTGTGCTTCARACATAGAACAGTACAAACAGCTTCAAATCGAGATAAAATTTGTTGGCAACACTGAGCAACGGCCGTAACGTCGTAGCGGCCATGTTTGTTGTTTACACTTGTTTGAGAAGGGAAGTCGACAACGATTCGACGACCTACCTTCAGCTTTTCATTTACTTTTACCACTGCGAAATTAATGATAATTGATTATCACAATCTTTTTTCTATGCTCGCAAAGTCGCAATCATACGTCCAGGACGTGTTTRTATTAACTCTCGAAATCCAGTGACGAAGATTTCACATATTTCCTTTGAGTAGTAGGTGATGTGTAAAATGGAAACTGCTGCTACGACGAATACTACGGACGTTCACCACGACCGCCATGTATTAAAACAGCCTACCAAGGTACTGTTGACGCTTAGCAACGTATTGTTACCTAAAGAAAAGCTCACGTCCACGCCGTCGATGATTGATGGGTTAGATTTCGAGACCGAAGTCGACCTAAGGATCGTTGGCTGTGAGTGGATTCAGACTGCTGGCATATTGCTCAAACTGCCTCAGGTAAGACTTTGTTTATCGTTTATACCCACTATATACGTCTTGTAATGATAGGTGTGATGTACTGTATAGTATATACAGCTAATTCAACCTCACAAATATGTTATCGTAATAATACCATTTTTTATGGTTTTCTCCCTTAGTGTTTTAGATTCAGACCACCATGTTATGTAACCCAWTATTTCACTTCCTAGGGCTGAGCGCTGAACTACACATAGCGGTCGATTTTTCAAACACGTAAGTGTGAACGCTTATCAAGTAGTTGTATTTAAAATCAAATAATTTAAATTTGTTAGGTGGTACAACCGTTATGTGTAGTCCAGCCCTTAAATAATGTATATCAACATTGCGTTATTGTTATTTCTTGTATGGGTTATGATGTACTTAAATTTCATCTCATAAATTGTGGCTGTCAACACTATAACATTTGCTGCAGCCAATTTTAAACTTTGGCCCAAAACCTATTTAAAAAAAAAAAAATTGATTTTGTGATTCTGTTAATTAGACATAAGTTATGGYAATAACAAATATTTGGAAGAAAAATATATTACATCAACTCGTTTCTTCAACTGTGAGGCAAATTTTAAAACTGAAATAAATGATAATTAATTATATATATATATATATATTCAGATTAGTTTGTAAAAGTACACGCAATTGAGCTTATTAATTTTAACCTAATTTAAAACTTAATATAAATATGTACTGTATATTGAAAATATTAMAACATAAATGGGCAAAATAAATATGTATAAAATAATAAATGTTTAATTCTATTATAGGTAGTCTCCAAGAATAAAACTAATTTATAGGTAAAATGACTAAAAATATGTTCTTAATTTTTAATATGACTATATTTTAGTTTTTTTTTTTTTTTGGTACATCACAAAATGGTTATATCTTCAGCCAATTTGTAAATCATATATGTATCATGAAAAAAAAAAAAATTAATATATAAACTTGAGTTGCTTAATTTTTATAACATACTAAAAAAATATTACAACATGATTTTGATTTTTCAGGTTGCAATGGCAACTGGACAGGTGTTGTTTCAGCGATTTTACTACACAAAATCTTTTGTTCGCCACCCAATGGAAATAACTGCAATGGCATGCACATGTTTAGCTTCTAAAGTTGAAGAATCACCTAGGCGTATTCGTGATGTTATTAATGTTTATCATCATATCCGTCAAGTTTTAAATCAAAAGTAAGTTGAAGTGGTTTTTATTTTTCATAATTAATATTTTTTTCATTTGAATCTTGTTTAAATATTTTTAATCACAACTGACTAATATGTTAGCTTATGTTTCTATATTTAAATTATCCATTTTGATTTGGACCTAAAGTTGGTAGTATATACTATATTTTCCAAATTTATATTACTCAAATTAAGTAAATCTATAACAACACTTATTTTAAGCTAGAAAGTAAACTTATAGGTTTTATTAATGTTCTTAATACCCTATTCAGTATATTGTCTATAAATAAACAGTAGATACTTTAATTTATTAACTTTTGTTTGAGGTAAGTTAATGTTACCAATTTTCATTAGAAAAACATATTTACCTTTCTATCTTATAAGGCGTGTCTAGTATCTAGTATACATTATTATTAGGGCCTGGATTTATATGCTCTAAAAACCTCAGAAATATGTACTACAAAATACACAAAAATAAGTCTTTTATTTTCATTATTTCTTATGTGCTGACATAAATTTATATTATGTTTATAATATGATMCTTTTTTTGACGTTTTAAACATAAATAAATTAAATCAAATGGAAATTACGCACACTTGGATTGTGAAAAACACGAAGAAACAAACATGACTAATGTATGATACACGAAAACCTACTCAATAACAGATTACTAACCTGTCCCAATAGGTTTTAGAAAACAATTTCACCAAATTATATGAATTATAAATATATTATTTTAATTGATAAAATTAAAATATTACATATTATGCAATTAAAAATTTTTAAAACAGAAATAAAATTTACATGCAAAAAAATGGAAAAATATTTAAAGTAAAACTTAGTATTTAGGATCTATTAACTATAGTTAAAACATTTAAACATGTAGATTATCTAGCCATTTTTTGAACTGTTTAGGAAAAACATGCAAATGCATATAAACCCTGGCCCTAATTATTAACCTATACATTAACCTAGGTATAAATTTGGTATACAAACCTCCTTAGTAAAATCTTAAGCTTAAAGTTAGTTACAATATGTATATCAATAAAATTTAATAGAAATTAATTTAACCATATATTTACTGTCTGCTAATTTTTGTTTTCATCTTGAATCAATCTTCTTAAACATTGATTTTAAAATGATATTCTTAGCTTAATTTTAACTATTTATTATTCCATATCCTTTTCCTAAATGTATAAACTATGAATTGAKTATATTAATGTATGAATATTGAATATTAATTTTGATATTTGATTGATCAAATTAATGTCCTTAATCTCAACTTGGAGAAGTGAAACACTTGAAACTATCCATATTATAATACTTATATTTTTCACCTTATGATTTATTCATTTAATTACATTTTCCTTTTTAAATATTAAGAAATAGTCACGCATCCACTTTTTGAAGATTTAAATGTAGGTATTTAAAAAAAAAATTAAATAAGAATTTCAAAATGTTTGATTCATAATAATGATGTTTAACTGTACCTAATTATTCTAAGTAGCTTTGCTAGTGTTACGTTGATACTTATTGCGTAATAGACTGGACCTTAGAATGAAAAATAATTTTGTGTGGGAAATAACTGTATACACTATAGTTATAGTAAGAAACAATACTTTCACTATAAGAAGAGCTTTATAATTATTGTATTATTTTGATATCAAGTTAATCAAACTTAAAATATCATTCATTTCTTTGTGTAATGATGGTAAGTATTGAAAACATGAAAAATAMAGTTAAAGTTTTTCTCTTTTTATGGTGGAAATAAAGTTTTTTAACTAGAACTATAGACCAAGTAATTTTTCTCTGTAAAAAAAAGGCTTTGAATTATGAGTATATACATGTGATGTCCTCTTAAGATAACTTAAATTTACTTAGATGTTTAATTACTTTCAGATATCCTACAGCAGTCGCAAATACACATTCCTTAAACATTCTAATATTTCTTTAGCTATGATAAATACAGAATAAGAATATATACTTACAGTTGACATTATATATTGGTACAAGTTATGTTACAAGTTACAAAAACAATTTTTTTAACACTTCTATAAAATATACTAGGTTCAAAAAAATGTCTTGGTATTAAGTACTTAAATTTACATCAACACGTATGTTAAGTGTCTAAGCTATACCTTTTAAAACTATAACAGTACTCACATTACCGTGTCAATGAATAATTTAAAAATATCTTTATGACTTAAGAATTCACTCAAGTATCAATTCAACAACCATTTTTCTATGTAGTCAGTGGTTTTT